CCCTCACCTGTATATTTGTTGAACTTGTAACTTTTGTTTTGAAAACAATAAACTGAAAATGAAAAATGAAACGAGGTACGCCTAAGTACGTGACGTAAGCACTGGAAGTACATTGTTGGAGCGTCCCGTCACTCCTGTTCAGCATATGTGCAGTTGGGTGCATGGGCTGGTATTTCAGGTGCAGGCATGAAGCAAGCTTTTCTTTGGCCAGAACATGCACACTTGACCAGTCAGTTTTGTGGCCTGTAGAATCCACATGTTTAGCGAGGGCATATGAGGTCACGTAGTTTCCCGACGTCATGTTCATGTTTTGTTAAGGGGGGGCGCGGCAAGTAAAGTGCCGATTTTGGTCAAAATATGCGATTTTCTGATTTATTTTTTTTCATAATCTTCAGACCTTCAACCTCTCGAACAAAGAGCTCCTTGAAAGGTGTGCGCAGGGAAAAACCCTGAACGCTGTGGAGAGTATGAACAGCCTCATTTGGTCACTCCAGTCCAAGAGCCAGTTCGCGTCCCTTCGAAGTGTGGAAAGTGCAGTTGCAGATGCAGTCTGCCGTTTCAATGGTGGCTGCAAGAGTGCGCTGCAAGAGATCACTGCTCAACTGGGCTTCAATCCAGGAGACTGCTCTTTGCGGCGAGCAGCCGAAAAGGATGCCAAAAGGGTAAAGAGGGCTCAAAAGGCGCATTGTTCCACGACAAAGAAGCGCAAAACTGGGTTGCGCTCTACGGAGGCCAAGGCCACAGCATCTCAGGATTACTGCCCAGGAGGATTCTGAGTGTTTTAGGCATGTTGTGAACTTCCAAACAAGAGTGAACTTTCAAAGTCAGTTTTCTCAACTCTTGATTTTCGCCTATGTGCCTTCGCTAGAACATCAGTCATTTTCTAACAAAGACTGATAGAGTCGTTCCGTTTTTTGCACTAGGCTCAGGAGGCCTTTAGCAGTGCAATAAAGCTTTATCTCTCTTCTTACTCATCATTTAAAATTTTAGAACACATTTTATAATTACTGCGATGTGTGCGCAAAACAACATCCATGTTTTGGAAATTTTATTTATGGTTACAAGAACTAGAAAAATCAACTAATAGCTTCTTTGCACAAGTTGATGCTTTGGGAACATAATAATATGAAAAAATAATTTCATATAGCAATAATTATCTCTTTAAGTGTGAAGAGCATTAATTAGTATAATTATGCTTGTAACTCAAAAAGTACAAGAGGTATTTGAAAACGGTTTTCATATTTGGAATCCTCACAATCATCCACATACACACACCAAATTTCATCACAAACAGTACATTAATAAAAAAATTAGTTTTACTTGCCACGTCCCCCCTTAAACAGGGAAAAACAAAAACTTTTTGTAGATGGTCGATTCTGGGTGATAATGAATGAGGGGGGTTGGGGTTTAACGCTTTTCTTGAAATCTGTGGTCTCATGGGTGTACTGGTTGTCACAATGGTGGCAGCCTAAAGTAAAAAAACAGACTGGAAATTTTCGCTTGGCAACTTGTCTTTCACATTGTCTAAAGAGTTCTCATGTCCGTTGCTTCTACATATCATGCAGCATATCTGACTTTCCAATCACAGCTAAATTCCCGTCGTTAAATTTGTGCATGTTTGTCTTGACCATGATTTGGCTCGACGTGAAGTCCTTCTAGTTCGGCTAGGACTGCAATTAGCAAAAGCTTGCCAGGCTATGTCATGCCTTTTATTATTACTATTACTATCATCATTATTATTGGCAATGCAATAGCAAACGTCCTCAGCTACACACTTATTACTTGTAGCTCGCGTTTTAAGAGTAGAGTTTGAAAACTTCATCTAAATTTCTCATTTCAATTTCTTGAGATAGTATTATTATAAATCTGTGATTACTTTTTAGCCTTATATTCATAGAAGAGCGCACAAATAAAGGTTACCCGCTGGCATCTGTGATGAATCTATGGAATCAAGGGTGCTGTTGCGCCCTGACAGATTCCTTCTTTTCCGCACATGTTCAAGTGTCATAGCTTTAAACCCTACCACTAGCTTTAATTGCAGGCATCTTTAACTTTGTCGAGCTCCAAGCGTCACAGACCAGAGAAATAAAACATCAACATGCATGTGCTCGTCATGGAAAAGAAAAGAATGAAAGAGGGAAAATTCCACAGTAAGGCCCTGTTCATGTGACGTTGTTAGTCATTGTTCAATGCAAGGTGCAAAGAATATGCGAGTAGTAGTGTTTTTTTTTTCCTGAGAAGTATATACTAAAGGTGTGCAATTTAGGTGGAGATGCAAATCAGTAGTAAATACGGCAATCCAGGTTGCATCAGATCCAATGCAATCCACATCCTAAATAGGCAAGTCAGTAAATACAGTTCAATCTAATCCAATCCACATCCTAAGTGGCCTGGACTGTAACCATTATGTAACTAGAATATATTACAGTGGCCGAACCGGCCTGGCTCCAGCGTCCTCCTTTTACATAGATGCCACGAGATGGTGCCACTTCTACGTTTTTTAGCAGCTTTGGCTGCATTGGAGGACTGTCGTGGGTTTCTTCAAACTTTTAGCTGCAGTTAACTTAGTCGTGTGTTTGCTTTCTGGTTCTTCCAAACATCACTTGGATGTTTCGTTTTGGCCAGATATACATATTTTTTTCATATCTACCATACATGCTCAGAACATTCTGAACACTTGTAGTACATTTATTTACTTATTTTATAGGAGTGTTTGATTTTTTTCTATCACTCGACGGTGTGTTTCCAGTGCACAGAGTTTTCCAAGCAGACGTAAGGGTCATGGAATTCGCTTCAAATCATCATGGAAAACTGGAAAGGTCAGGGAATTTTGAAAAAGCGAATTGGTAGACACCCTGTAAATTTGTTTATTAATGAATATTAATATTTATAAAAGGCTAAAGTGATGTGTTTCCATGAGTTCTTTGGAATATTTTGCAATCTGCTCCAAAAACACCAAAAACTGCTCCAGGCTAGCATTTCTTCTGCTCCCAAAAAAAATCAAGGCTGCTCCCAAGCAGAATTTCTCCTGCTCCAGAATCTGCTCCAAAAATCAATATCTCGCTTTCATCTCTGTAACTAGTCACTAATTGTACATGGGATGTTCTACATCATTGGCCTCTTGTTTATAATGTCCCACTGGTGTTGGAAATTGTATCCTACATTTACTTTAATCTATATTAGTAAAGTACTTCTTTGCATAATATTGATGTTTTAGACGTTTTCATGCATTGACATTTCACTCTTGCATGAAATGTTATTTGCTTTTAGTGTCCCTCCAAACGTGTCAGTATAATAATAATAATATTTTTATTTTCACCATTACGTTATACAAATGGTTTCCCCAGTCACCACGGATGATACAAATAAGCGATTGACCGTTGCACGCCAGCGGCACAACGCGGCTCGTCTCTTAAAGAAAGGCCTGTTCACTCTTGGCCTCAGAGGGAATGAATGCGGCTAAACTCCCCAGGATTTTTCATGCATTAGTGGCCAGAGAAACATGCCGCGAGGCCGATATGAAAAAAAAAAAAAAAAAACAGTCCGAGAACAATTTCCCGTCGTGGAATAGCAGATCGCCTTTTTGCTTTGTTTTCTCCGGCTGCTCTAGTTGTCAAACCACGTGATGTAAACAACTAGCCGCTAATTCAACATGGCGACAAAGGCTTGCGCAATGGATCGCATCGGTGTTATCGCGAACTTCCCGTGCAGCTCACGTCCTTGACAAAGACATGTTCATCGAGAGCCTGGTTTGGCTTACGATCGCTGAGAATGAACGCAGAAAGTAGAAGGTGCAGCAGCAGCGAGTCGGTATGCCCTAATTCGCTTTTGCACTGCCGGCCGAATCCGGCTGCTGCTGCGTCCGCTCGTGTTGTTTCTGCTGGCGTGTGTTCCGAAACAATGTTTGTAAAGGCGTAAAATGTTTCATTTCAGTGCTTTGCATGCATTACTAGAATTTGGTATCAACTTCAAAGCTCAGGAAATAGGAAAAATAGAATGAGTTCTTAAATGGTGATGGCGGCGGTAGTGGCATGTACGAGGGGCAGAACGAATGTGAACGTTTTCAACGGGCACAGACGAGGTTTTCCAGCAGTTTTGGCATTTGCGCCTGAATTCTCCCGTGTGAAATCTCCAGAACTGATTGTTTCGTGTCAACTTGCGGCACAACTTTTCAACTGCCTAAGTGGCGAAGAGAGTGAATGTCTAACGAGTTTGGCCGCTCTCACTGCCTTGTGATTTGAAGTGGGAACGGACCCCACCTACAGCAGGAGGAAACTGTAGTACTTTATTGAGAGACCGTGAAAGCAGGAAAGTTCAAAAGAACATCATGGACTTTTTTCAGCAAAAAGTACTGGTCAATAAAGTTCTTCATCGTCAATATCAACTTTAACTTGCTTTGGTTCATACGAATCCATGGTGATGGGAATACTTTGCATGCTCTTTTTGAATTTGTATCATCGAGATTCTACTGTATTGCATTGTAGAAAAGTAGAATCGCACAGAGTGTCACAACTTATTGAATTGTGCAACAAATAGCTTAAGCATCACCCATTACAAAATGCTCATGTGTAACTAATCATGAACAGCAACAACAATAACATTAGCATATTGTGCAGAGTGGGACGCATTGCTGATTCGCAATGTAAGGAAATATGGCATAGTGGGCACTCCAAACACACGTGCAGTAAATGCGCTTTATAAAAGTCTCAAACAGCCAATGTCGTGTGCACAGAGGTTCCTTTCCTCGCGGCAAAGTTGAGGTGTCCACTTGGAAGTGAAGCTTGGCAAGCAAATGAGTAAGTAGATTGTGGACGGGGCCCGATCACGCACTTGCCTGCTATTGCTGAAGGAGAAACGCGTGCATCCTCAATTTTTCTTTCTCAATATTCATTTATTCTTGCCTAATTCACCATGTGTTGCTACTGTCCTTTCTTTAAATTTCTGCTGTTCATATATCGTTGTTGCTGCTTGGTATTTACCATCTAACATTTGCGTTGCAGGAGATGCGAAGGCGGCGAAATGAGGTGACAGTCGAGTTGAGGAAGAACAAGAGGGACGAGTCGCTGCTCAAGAGACGCAATGTGCCCCAGGTCGACTCCACGGATGATGAAGAGATTGACAGGGGCCACCCAGATCTCCAGGCTATTGTGGCAAATGCAAGCAGTGGGGATCCTAATGTCCAACTCAGTGCAGTCCAGTCAGCCAGGTGATCATCTGCAGCAGTGATTTCCTGATTTATATGCTGTTACTTCATGAAAAATTGGCTCTCTAGTCCTCTCCTGGTAGCTTACATAATTCCTTTTAGACATCACATGTACATGGTTATCCAGTAAAACTTGTTAATAATGAATTGACCCAAAATAAATGATTTGCTAAATTTATGAGGGTCAAGTTAATGATTTGACTGTTCCCTGGCCCTGCCCAGCATATGCATTGTTGAACAGCATCAAACTCATTAATTCAGTCAAATTTTATGCAATCCTGTTAGTTCAGACTATCCTTGAAGCGCCACAAATATGCGACGTAAAAGAGTGAAAACACCATTGCAGACAGCCTAAACAAGGTTGTGCGGTCTGCATCACTATAGATAATTGTCGGTTCATAACCATGTTTTTGTCCACATGCAGATCCAGTACTTAGCAGCTTTGGTTTAACTTGATGCAATGTGTGCACAGTGCTACGAAACTCTGACATGGTGGGAGTAGTTGAAAATAAAGCGCTTTCATCTGAGCGCGCCATTCGGTCATTTTTGTTGCCGGCCATTTTAGCTGTGAATAAACTATTGTCACATGCTCGCGGTGGTGGGGACAATACATAATAAAGGAGTGGTGCTGAGCGCTTTCCAGGCTAATTAAACACAAGAGTTGGGTGCAGTGCTCGCATTGTATATGAATTTGCAGAATGGCCAAAATAGCAGTTTTTATATCGCTTTTATATAAAATAAGTACAGGATTTACGTATTTATCAAAAAATTTAGTGTGTTGATGCTAGCAGACATTTGTTTGTTTTTTGGTGGGAAATACTTCTCATAATTAAGCATTAGCATTTGGTTACTTTGGAAATTTTTTCGTCTCATGAAATATGAATTAACAAGCTTTGCTTTAGTATTTTCAGTGCACATAGTCTATTTTCAAGCACAACTTTCATTTTGGAACATTCAAGAGGTTGATACTGGATGAGTTTACTGGTGCTTGATGACATTTTAGTAGTGAATCGACAATCACGAAGGTCACCTGCCCGCATTGAATGCAATAAGCTGTCTTGGTGAAATAATCCGAGCTTTTTGCACAAAAATTTCAAGTGTGACGGCTGCTGTCCTCAGCATCTAAAGCTTAGTACTTACTTGTAATGGAAAGTTACTGAATAAGCGTACTCTTATCTTTTGACAGGAGGCTACTCTCGAGTGATCGTAATCCGCCTATCGACGATCTGATCAACTCTGGAATCCTTCCTATATTAGTTCAAGCTTTGCGAAGGCATGACAAGTAAGTGTCATCTTTTTCAGTTTCTAGTCATTGGGTACTTGAGGTGCTGCTATTCGGTTGGAATTGTTGTTGTCCGAAAGTATGCATGTATTATGGTATGGGTGAGTGGTAATGATGTTGGGGCTTCTCATGATGACTGTCCTCCCCCCCCCCCCCCACACACACGCACACATAAACTGGCTTCTTGGCTTCTGTTGAACTATATTTTAAACAGTACAAAGACAGGGCAAGTATTCCAGCACGACACACACTTTAAGGTATGAATTTTCAGAAACTTGTAATGCATTTTTGCACTGTTAAAGGGCAGCAGTTAGGTTTTATCCAGATGGCATGATTGATCTGCACATTAGCACTAGCGTTCTGGCTTTGTAGTTGGGTGCATACCAATCTTTTGTCACATTCATCTTCTGCAGGGTAGACACATATTGCCTGCAATGCTGTTGGTGGCAATAATTATGCCACTGCTGTATTCCTGAAGGCTGGCAGGGTGCTGTTACATAGCTGTAAACTTTAGTGCTGTGTTCAGCCATGAACTATCATTTTCTAAAGAGTAAGAACACTAGTGAGTTAGCTGTTAAACATAGCTTTTCCTGTCACTTCATCACTGTTTGGGCACAATGGTCATTTTTAAAATGTTTAATGTATTCAATTTGTAAATGTTTAGCACCTAAATGCATATTTGAATATTTGGTTGTGTGCTGGAGCTATTCAGTGATGTATTTTAAGTATTTAGGTAGAAAATATTCAATAAAACAGCTTAATATAATTAATCTTATAAATATTCTGGGAGAGTGCTTGTTCAATTTTCAGCTTCATTGAAATGTGTCCTTACTGTGCCGTTTTTCAGCCCTTCCTTACAATTCGAAGCAGCCTGGGCACTGACAAACATTGCATCAGGAAACTCAGCAACAAACGCAAGCAGTTGTCAACGCAGGTACATTTTCAGTCTTGAAAGTTTCAGCCTATAGTTGCCTCCTTTTCAGTGCCTTTGTGCCTTTCATTAAAAAGAGTGTTTCCATACATTAATTTTTTAATGGCATTCCTTGCTTTGAATATCCAGATGCAGTACCACTTTTCTTGGACTTGTTGAGGTCACCACACCAAAATGTCTGTGAACAAGCTGTTTGGGCGTTGGGCAACATAATTGGTGAGTTCTTGTGTTAGCAGTTTTAGTAAACAGCACATGGGGATTATTTAAGGTGGACTACGAGTTGCATGTTCAGCCTGCCCCACTGGTGCCGCATTGGTGTGTTATTTTTTATTTTGAAGGCCAACAACCTTGATGAGGAACTTGGAAGTATAAGATAGATGAGCAGTGTCTTCACCTTTCGATGCTTTGCATTGCAACGCGCAAGCCAGTTATTCATCTACTGCCTTGCCCTCAGTTTTTGTTTTTAATAAATGTACAGTCAAACCTCAATATATCGAACACGGATATATCGAATTATTGCCTATATCGAACGGTTCCTATATCACACGGGAAATCGCATGCGTTATTGATTTTTTATTTCGAACAAAGTTTGACATATAATGGATATATCGAACTCAGCCACCCCAAACCGCCCGCACTCCATTGACAGGCGGCGAGCTTTCCCGCAACTCTCGAAAGTAGCGGTAGAGCAGCGGGCGTTTACGAATGCTGCACACATCGATGGCGCTGAGAGCGCCACTTTTAAAGTAGCGGCGTACGCGCGCCGCAGCCTTGCAGCTTGCAGTCGTTGCAGTCTCTATGGTGTCAACGGCACACTGCGCACTTGTTGGGAGGATTCGCTCGCAGGATTTCAAGCTGGACGGTTGTGTCCTCGCGATCTCCGACGCCAGCGTAGCTCCCACCGACTGGTTCGCCCTCCGCGGTCTCCTGACGCCGTGAAGCTCTAGCATTGTGGCGCCCCGCCCTTGGACTGCTTCGACCGGATCCCCACTTTCCTATCCCCTTCTTTTTTCTGTGGCTTGCCTGTCTATTTCTTCATCTATTTCCTTCTATTCTTTTCATCCCTCCTTGCCCCCATCCCTATAAGGCACTGCGCCGTGTCGCCTGAAGGCCGACAGAAATTAGGTGCCTTTTTCCTCTTCCTTACAACCACTACCACCACCACTTGTTGCAAGTTCCTCCCCCGTAGCATCTGCAGGCATCGGTCGTTGTGCTCGCAGTGTTCTTGCGTTCGGAGTTAGGCCTGTCACGCGCTGTGGTGCGCGACAGGCCTAACTCCGAACGGCGGAGCTCACGGATGTGGAGATTGTTGCCGAAGCTACTGCTGAGCAGCCAAATGAAGACTCTGCCGAGGTGGATCCCGCAAGCGCTGATGGTGCCCCGCTCCCGACATCAGCTGAGGTCGTAGCTGCCTTGGCCCTTGTGCGCCGTTACTGCGGCGCGATTGAAGGCACCGGCCTATCACTTATGGATCGCCTGGACTATATTGAGGACACAGTCGTCAAACACGTCATGGCCAACAAAAAGCAGGCTACTCTTTTTCAATATTTTAAACCAACACAATAAATACTATGTTTGAATCTTCAAGTGAGTATTTACTGCACCACGCTTGAACGGTTCGTTGGTTGTTTTCAGCAAGCTGTTGACGCATTTTTTTCGTGATTTTTTTATATCGAATTCTGGATATATCGAACTATTTCGCGATCGCCGTGCCGTTCGATATATCAAGGTTCGACTGTATATAAGGACGTTTCATAAATCAGGTGCGACGGTGTGGAAGAAGTTTTGAACCAATCGTGCCATTTGCCACTGATAACACCAAGCAGTTTTTTTTCCCATGAATCAAACGTAAACGGACAAGCAGCATTTTATGAAGCGTTGTAATTCACGGAAGGTTCTTTTTACATTATGACTGGTTTGATTACTAATGATTAATTGTATTCGGAACTTTGAAGTCATTGAGATCACTTCAAAATGTCTTCTCGTGGTACTTATGGTGCTGTACATTTGCCTTAATGGCACTGCTGAGTAGAGCACTGCTGCTGATAATAGTGCCATTTTGACGCTCTCAAACACTGATCTTTCACTGACATAAATTATTATTCGCCTTTAGTGTCCCTTGCCTGCCGAATGCACACATGCACGAAAAAAACAATTTATTGGTGTTTTAATGATGATGATAACGTTTTCTGAAAAAGCAAAGTTGTGCCCCCTGAAACAGTTTTTCCAGCTGAAGGAGATCAGACACGGCCTTCGAAACTAGAATAGACTACCAAGCCAACGGGAGATTCAACGTGGCGGCTTTCAAATTTGAGCGGCATGGTTAAAGAAAGGGGATCTAGTGAGGAAAATCAAACTTCCCGACATAAATTTGCTTGAAAATGCATTGGCATTATGGTAACCTTGACGGTGCATTTATGAAGTCCAATATGTCAAAGTGTCCTGAAATTTCGAAGGCGGAAAAAAATTTGTCGGGGCCTGTATTTGTATTGATGCTCCTTAATGTGCTATTTGATCATAGCTGTTTTGGTGTTTAGATGCTTTTAATTGATTCGCCAAGAACTTCAGTGGTGTTCATTTAGGTCTCAGGTGTGTTGATGACTTTCTGATTTGATACCTCGAACAAAGGTGTTTTGGCAGTGGTGCTGAGGTACTGCTTTGTTAGCGCGAACGTCTAGATTCTGCTATTGGTGTCACTGGGGCTTCTGCTCGTACAGCTTGTTTAGCAGGCAGTGGCAGACAAAGCACTTCCAGTTGTTGAATTGCTTGTTGTTAAGAACTGGCTGAGGCTGTTTTGTTCTATAATTTTTAAAAGCATGCTCTGTGAGTAAGGTAGCTAGCACTTGCAATGTGTTGGGAGGCATATTGCACTAATATGTCGGCACTTTTCAGAGCATCCACCATAGACAGGTCTGCACTCATGCTATGTGGCTTCCTTTATCTCTTGTTTTGTTTGTGCTGTTATAAAATGTACAGTGGTCATTTTACAAACACACTATTGTTCACAATACCTTTGTCTGAGCTTTACAAATTACTGCCTGGGTTTCAGGGGACGGGCCGCAGCTTCGAGACTACGTTATTAAACTTGGTGTGGTAGAGCCACTACTGTCATTCATCAAGCCTTCCATGCCACTAACGTTCTTGCGTAATGTTACCTGGGTCATCGTTAACCTTTGTCGGAACAAAGACCCTCCGCCACCGCTGGAAACCATCAGAGAAATCCTGCCTTCTCTATGTCTCCTCATTCACCACACGGACAACAATGTGAGACTTTTTTTCTGCTGCCTTCGTTTTGCTAAAGGTTCTTACTGACAAGGTCGATATTGTAGTACTGTTGGCAGAAACGATAACGATATGGTGACGGTACACTGAAACCACTTTTTGAGGAAGATGGGTGTAATTAGTTACTTGTTATAATGAATATTCCTGTTATAGGGTTACGAATATAAGTAGCATACAAAATAATCATTTATAAAGAATTTTCATATGTAACCTTTAATTTTTTGTCATATGTAGCTTCGTTATACAGTAGAATCTCGATACAATTACTATTGAGGCGAATTTCGTGATGATAAAAGTTTTAAGGTTGCTTAGCATGGACTGCATTACATAAAATATTTTGTGATTTGGTGTTACACGAACGGTTTCCCCAGCAACCGTGGATGATACGAACGCTCGGTTGGCCGCTGCACTCGAGCAGCCCAACGCAACTTGTCTGTGGAATGTAGGGCCGTTCACACTTAGCCTCAAAGGGAGCAAATGCAACAAAACTCACCAGAATTCACCTAGCTTCACCGCTAGAAAAGTGGCCGAAAAACCATGCCGTGAGGCAAACGCAAAAAAAAATCGTTCAGAGACCAATTTTTTCGTTACGTGATGGCGGATCGCCTTTCTGCTACGGCTTTCGCTACACCGCCTGCACTAGCTCTCAATCCACGTGATGTAAACATATACGTTAAACATGGCGGCAAAGGTGTCGGCGGTGGCTCGCGTCGGCGCCATCGTGAACTACCAGCGCAGCTTGACTAAGCTGATGGCCTTAAAAAAACGTATTCATCGAGAGCCTGGTTTGAATCGAGATTGCTGCGAATAGTGGAAGAAGAAGAAGGTGCAGCCGCAGCGATTCGGCATGCCCTAACATGTCTCGCTTTTGTACTGCCAACTAAATGCATTGCCTCAGCTGCCGGTTTGTCCGCTTGAGTCGTTTCTTGTGACGTACCTCCTAAAACAATGTTTGCAAAGTAAAATGCATAGCTTTTAAAATATAAATCATTTCATTTGCAATTTTTGGAGCAAGATTTTTTCTAAACTGAAAGGGTCACAAATTAAATCAGCCCATCACAATGGATGTTCTAATACCCCTGTCACACTGGCAGTGTTAATATCATCAGGTTCAAATCGTATTAGGAGCAATGAATGTTATTCGGTCCATGGTGGTGCTACACAGAAAAAAAGTAATGCTATTTGTTCATGATATCAATCTCGATAACTCAGAAAAAAATTGGCTAGAAAGTTGAGCCAGGTACATGTTGAGTGATAGAAAAGTGAAGTTCACTTTAAAAGATATCGAGAAGTCGCTTGGCAAAATACGCATAGAAATTGTATATCGCAATATATATGTCCACTATAGGCCAAGACAATCTCTTGGCCACTAGTCACAGCCTATAGAATGTACACAAGCACCACGATATGTGCGGCGTGACGATTAAAGAAAGAAAAAGAAAAACCCTTCGAGTGACGAGGTGTGTCGCGTATACAGTCACCGACGGATTTTCCGGAGTTCACTAACGCACCATCGAGGTTCCCATCATTTTTGCAACTGACTTTTCGGACAAATTTAGGTTCTGAAGTTTGATTTATCGGACTCAATCATTTGTTTTGAGCTATGTCTCTTGATTTGAGTTTGATTTTAGAAGCTGCCATACTGAAATTTTCGTTCACTTGGTCCAGTTTGGCTTGCAGTGGCTAGTTGTGTGGCCTCCCAAGATTGAAAGCGCGCACCATCTTCCGATTTTACGGGCCTTGACTGATCTTTTTCGGCTAGTAAAACGGCAAAACTTTTCTTTTTCAGTCAGCCTTATCATCATTTTATGCCAGCAGGTTGTTTTTATTTTCTGAACGTTCATTTTTCTGGTCATCATTGTGCACGTGATCGTGCTTTGTGTGTTTGAGCCATCGTGCGCGTCACATGCTCGCTGCTGTTCGCGGTTGCTTAGAAGCACCAGTAGCACTCTGGGAATGGTCACGCTGCTTGGCTACTGACCTGGAACACGTGAGTTCGATCGCAGCTACAGCTGTAGCGTTTTCATGGTAATGAAATGCTGAAGGCTCGCGTCCTGTGCGGTCTCAGTTCAGGTAAAAGAAGCATGCATCCTTTTGCGAACCGGTATCAAGTTTTGTTAGCTTGGTTTCGTGGAGCCAACAACTTTGCGCTTGCCAGTGATGTTACTGTAGCACAAAGAGAGCCGAATTTGCTTGTCCCCAAGAACAGCATGAAGCATGGCATTATTTGGGATTTTTCTTTAGGCTTTTCTAATCCAAATAAACTTTATCACGGCTTGACCACTTTTTCAGACTTTTTGCGCTTGCCAGTGATGTTACTGTCGCACAGAGAGAGCCGAATTTGCTTGTCCCCAAGAACAGCATGAAGCATGGCATTATTTGGGATTTTTCTTTAGGCTTTTCTAATCCAAATAAACTTGACCACTTTTTCAGACTTTTTGGTTTTTCGGACTATTTCGCGGTCTTGAGCAGGTCTGGAATATCGGTTGGCATCTGTATTTAGGCTTTCTAGAATGTGAAGTAACAAATGCACACGTACAGTTTGTGGTGCAACTACACACTTAGGGTTCCATGTATGTTCGCTTTAAAACATGTCCTCGCATGCAGTCAGGTGGACATTATGCAATGGAAGTGCCGTAACGTCTCTATCTGGGTTAATTGTGCTTGTGCAGCTGATGCCATCGCTGCAGATACACGCATACACAGGCAGGGAGGCGTCTGCTTGTTTACATCATGGCTGACAGTGCCGGTGGCCAGACGCCACTGAGGTGCAGAGTAAAGACATTTTGACAGCGAATGCTGTTTCTCGAACTCATTCGTTCGCTTAAGTCATTTGATTCTAATGATGTTATGTGTCACTGTTTAGCAGCTACATAATGTCATTAGATGCAAATGTCATTCCCTTCGAATGACATTAAAACGTCCAGTGTGACAGGTGTATAAACTGTCTTCAAAACTTGTGGTATGCTCAACATCTATTAGGGAGTCTGTCAAGCTGGGACTACTCAAGCTGGTGAGAGAACCAGCTTGCTGTGGCATGATAGATTAAAAAAAGTGCCTGCTAGAGTTTGTTTTAAACAATTATCGGTAAATATGTTTAGATTGTGTTCGTGAGCAACCTAAATTTCAACAAGGCAAGTTTCAGAAAATTTTATTGAACTAATGTGGCCACAATAGCCTAATAAGCTGAACTTCAGGACGTCACACTGTGTGCTGAAAATTCAGTGTGAAATTCAAATGTGACACTGATGTTCAGTTTTTCTTGCCGATGATTATCATATGGCGGTGAAGTTATTGATAATAATATTCCAAAGTAATGGTTTATAACTTGAACTGATCAGATATTTCGCTTTAGTGTCCATCTGAGAGTGGTTCTGTGTGTGGATCTTGCTTGCCTACTATGGAGGTGGTGCTCTCTTCCCTATTGCACCATATTTTGCTGTGCACTGGAGGCGCACACTTTTCCTCATCTATGCCACGACTGCTTGTGCATTGCAGATTCTGGTGGACACAGTGTGGGCTATTTCCTACTTAACGGATGGCGGCAATGAGCAGATCCAGTGGGTGATTGACTCGGGTGTGGTGCCCCTGCTGGTGCCTTTACTTAGCCACAAGGAGGTGAAAGTGCAGGTATGCCTTGCTGACCTTTTGTGATAGGGTATGTCTTTGCATCGTTGAGTTTCTTACTATAATACCTAGGGGGAAATCCGGTGCTAGTGTCCATGCGGGCTTCTTCAGTAGCGCTTGCACCACCATGTTCCTGGAATGATGGGAAGTCGAGGCTTCGGGTCTGCTACAGATGGCTTTCGTTCTTGAGATTTGCGACACAAGCGTAAGGCAAAGTGGTACCATGTTATTTCTAACTTAAACATGCTTTATTCTTTTGTGCACGAAACTTTTCGTAGTTTCCGTAGCCGTGAGATGGAAGAGAAACCTGGACAAGTTCAATCAACAGGGTATGCAATGCTGTGCTATTGTGATCCAGTTTGGCATCAGGGTTTATTTTTTTACAACACTTGATAAAGAACTATCTTGTTTTTTCCTCAAAAGTACTCATTATCTATTTATGAAAATAATAGACAACCTCCTTACATCGCTCCCGCCACGTGCATTTCCCCCCGTACTGGCCATCCACTTCAAGTCTCCCGACCCCGTTCTAGCACCACTACCTTTTCTGCATCTTTTTTCTGCCGCGCAGCTGCAGAATGGAGTGGCCTTCCCCGCGACATAGTTTCTATCACTTGTCCATCTCATTTTGTTCAAAGTGTATCTATGTACCTGTCTCGTTAAAAAATTGTGGCTTCAGTTACAGTTCTTATACAACCCACCCCTTATATAAGCAACACCCCTTGAGGGGTCTTTAAGGTAATAAAGTGAAGTGAAGTAATAGTACTGTATTGATGGAGGATTGCTTATAATAAAAAGATATCAATCTGCTTTAGCCAGTCTGCATGCTACTGTTATGCTTGTTCATGCTTTATTGTGATGAGTGCTGTGCACCAAAGAGCTTTGGTATTCATTCACAGTAGCAATCAAAAGAACTTTCCATTTTGCATGCTGAATAAAAAAAAAGAACTGAAAGCTAAAGATTTGTTGTCTTTACAAAGATGACAATTTGGTGGCACTGTGCAAAGGCGACGCTGCAGGTTTGCATTTTCTAAAGCCCAATTTTCTCATAGTCTTTGATGAAAGCACAGTGGTGAAATACTATTTTATCAACTTGCTACTGCTTATCTTGGTTTCAATATTTCACCATGGTGTTAAACATCGTCTCAGGATTTCAGAAAGAAATGATAAATGAATAAATTGAACATTTTGACTGAATTTACTGTCCCCATTGCCACATCCCCCCTTGAATCTATTGTCTCCCATTTTGCAGCTGCGAGATTTTATCTGTCAAAATGTCAGTTCCCCATGGCAATAAATCTTATAAAATGTCTTTTTGTGCCTCATCCACTTCAGATTGTGTAGTCTTGTGCACACATGATCGTAGAGCGCAAATATGACTTTGCTCACCTGTGTTACGGACTTGCTGAACAATTGCACTCTCAGCGAGACATGATGATCAAGAAAGCAATCTACGAGCAGTCATTTTGCTTGATTTTCCACTTGACGTCATCACAACAAGTTATACTGTCGTGTGAAATCACCAGAATTTGTACTGTAGCTCAATGTCTCACTAGTGTCTGTGTCAGTAGGTGCGTTATGTAAAAATGGGCCTCAATGTAAAAATAAAACATTAGGCATTACCCAAGCTTCACACTTTTTCAGAGCCATCTTTGTATACAGTAGATTTGTATGAGTGAGCAAACATCGTATCATAAATAGATGTCGGTGCACCTTTAAATCACTGATGCATTTGCTTTGTTGGCTTTACGTAGTGATGACTTATTTTTTACTTTGCAGACTGCTGCATTGAGGGCGGTAGGCAACATCGTTACAGGCACTGATGAGCAGACGCAGGTGGTACTCAACTGTGATGCGCTGGCGCACTTCCCTGCACTGCTGACACATCCCAAAGAGAAAATCAACAAGGCAAGTTTCACATTTATTGTGCTTGCCTGAAAGGTATTTTTGTGAAAATTTAGAACTATACTGGCAACCATGCCTCACTGGTTTTTTAAATTCGAAAAACTAGCCATGAAATTGAAATAGCCATGAAATATTGGAAGCTGGTAGCTTAGCTTGATACATGCTACTGGTATGGAGAAAGCAGACTGTGCAGCTATGTGGCTGTGTGTGGTGGTGTTACGATATGTGGTAGTGATATTCAATATTGATAGCAAGTGTAGTGTGAGAGATCAGCCGAGTGGCTGGAGATAAATGCTTGTTCCTAACATACATCAATGGTAGTAGCCGTTGTGATGTGCACTGGCTATACTTAACAGCCGCATTGCATTGTTTCAGCGCATGAAGCTGTCGTGCTCATGATTTTGAAGGAGTCATATATAAAACAGGAATGATGACAAGACTCTCATGGGGTGGTTTTGCTTTCCTGCACTGATGTGCATGTCCATGGGGTTCCCAGTACTCGGCCATCCGCCATTGTGGCTGACACAGCAGTGCATCTGAGGACAGCGACCATGTCTTCTGCTGCAGTGGAAGATTGGTGCGCACCGATGATCAGATTATTATGAAGGTCATTATAGTGCTGGTGAACTCCCCCCACATGCATTTGAAGTATGGGAGTGATGCGCTACCTCATAGAGGAGTCCGGGGGTTTCACTGGCTGGGTGCTCCTCTTGTCCTGCACTTGAGTTGAGCCCCGTGATTGTGGTCCCCTGTCTTGTTCTGACCAGTAAGGGCTTCATGGCTGAGCTTCATTAGGATTTAATATGGCGCGACAAAAGTGGCAACCCCCAGTTTCTTTGCAAGAAATCATATTTTTTAAAATTTCTGCGCATAATAGGCGCACCTCGTATTTGGCTGCGATCAGTAGTTCTGTACCGTATTTGCGCAGTTGCAATTGAACGCTCTCTTGCGTAAACTGGAGCGAGGAAAAAAGAATATCGTAGCAGCACTGTGCCCGCTGTGCAGGATAGCCTAGTAGGAAGAAAGGTGGTTTGTTAGACGTTGAAGTAAGCTTCCTCGCCGTGAACCTAAACATCGTATCACACGCGCTGCTCCCTGCGAGTGCGATATTTTTGGACACCCAAGCTTTATGTTGTCTTGTGGGCTACTCCTAATCAGCGTTTCGTCTCTTTTCGGTGGGGATCGCTGGCGATCAAAGTTGAGTTGTTGTACAGGATCAATGGAACTCTTTGTGGTTGCTCTACTTAAAGGAAAGGAAGCGTGGGTGGTGCTTGTTACACTCGAATGGTGATATGCGATTCGATTTCAATGTCTTGTATACGGGGTCCGAGCCCGTGAAATCGAACTATCTGTACCGTTCAATGCAGAAAATTTTGGGTCGTGATAATGTGCATAATCTTACTGCTTGCCTGAAATGTAATCGTCGAATTTCCATGATGAAACTCTCTTTCTGTAGTTTTTTTTCTGTAGTCATATATTGAGGAACGCTGGTCTTAGAAAGTTAATTATTGGAAATTTGAATGCTTGTAAGCACATCACTTTGCATGCTTTGATTCTCTTATAAGCGAGTCTGCATTTAGATGTTAAATATTAGAAATTCGAATGCTTGTAAGCATATCGCATCACATGCTTTGATTCTCCGACAAGCAAGTCTGCATTTAGTCCTAGCGTAGCTGTTGAAGAAGGTACTTCGTAGATATTTGTGACTTTGCTGACTTTTGTTATCAGTAGGGTAACCAACCCTTTAATAAAGCAATTCAAGACGGGGTGGGGGTGGGTGGGGAATGCACTACTAACATAAGGATCCAGCGAAATCACTGCTTTGTTTTTAACGAGTTATGTTCCCAGACTTATCGATTGTTTCTTTACTGTTGTGGTCTCTTGAATGGTAGTTCAGCTGGCTACGCACTGTTCCCAACCTATTGCTAGAGAATGTACTTGTAAATGCTGTTGCACTTCATGTCCAAGTTCACCTAGAGCATCTCACAAGTGACCGCACCATTGCCTTGTAAGTGCGATTCATGCGAGCTTCATGTTCTGTAAGGTGACGCATGTTGTTTGACGTGCATTAGATCTCGTCAGAAGAGTCTAACTGGCCAGTTCGGAAGAAATCCTAGGCATTAGCTGTACCGACAGGCTTTGTGCAGTACTCAGGACGCTGAATGAAAAATTGTGACAGTTGTGCAAATTCTGCGACGGTTGCTAGCCCCAGTTATGCTTTAGTATGAAATAAATGTTTTTGAAATTTTACCCTGCCTATTAAGTGCATCTCAAACTTACAGCTGGATTTTCTGGGGAAAAGTGGGCCTGTTATGAGAGTAAATACAAATACAGTACGTGGCCACCTAGGCGGATGTGCACGACTTGGGCTGTTGCCCTCCTTTCATGCCATCTTAGACTGCAGCTATATTGGTTGCTTTTATTTTTTAGATAGCAATTATATGGACACTACAGGCCAACTTTACCACGGCCATCACCTTCCATGTGAGGTTTAAGGGGAGATGCGAGTCGAAAAATCGCGTTTTTAGCGAAATTTCTCGTATTTCTGATTTTTATTGCATTGTAATCTTCAAACCTTCTTCTTTCATCTGTGAAAATTTCAAAACTAAATTCGAACCGCAAAATGCAAAAAAATGTGTATGAAGGCATCGCGGTGGCTCAAAATTTCGTGAATTTGCGCCGATATTGGCCATCTTTGACTGCGCGCTGCTCCCCGTCGCAGTGCCGCCCGCCATCGCGATCGGTTGGGAAAGTTGCGTCCGGCCTTCTTCTTACAGCTCCGACGACCGCCAGTTTCGTACGTGGGCAAAAATAAATAAAAAACGAGGCCTTTTTATCACGTGGTTTGAGCGGTTTGAAACGCGCGGCGCCCTAAGCCGCATCGCCATTGGCTACCGAGTCATTGTCAGCTGTGTTGGTGGCGGCCATCGGCATTTGGTCCGTCTGCTTCTCTGCGCGTCTACGCATATTTCCGCGATGACAAGCCCGAAAAAGTGCAACGTGAGACCGCAGAAGTTTCGAACGAAGCACAAGTTCAAGGGAAGGCGGCGTAAAGCGCCCCGAACGACGGCGACGAACGAGAATGCGCCTACGTGTGCTAGGCCTGACGGCGGCATCGACGAGTACGCGAGCGACAGTGGCTGCGATGAAGGGATTGACACTGCGCTTTCTTTCGTCAGTGCTTCGGAAAAGAAGCTCGGCTTCTTCGAAAAAGACGAAAGACAGCGCGATGAGGTTTGTGCAACGACAGTTTTGTGCGACACCCTCTTGCTGACGGCACTTGTGACAGGTGCGGCATGCCCTGCTTGCGGTATTCAAAAACTTGCCGTTCGGGAGCCGGCAGAAAAGCGCAAGGGACTTTCGTCGCTCCTCGAACTTCATTGCCAAAACAGCGAATGCTCAGCGACTGTTCTTTCGTGCTCCTATACGTCACTGCGTGTTACGGCGGACGGCAGCAGCCGAGTGAGCCAACGGTACGACAGTGGGAGCTCCCGAGATAGTTTCGCTGTAAATGTGAAGGCGGTGGTGGCTGCACGCGCTGTCGGCATTGGGCATGAGCAACTGTCGAGATTTTGCTCCATTATTGGACTCCCAAAGCCAATGCACCACCAAGGATTTTTTTCGATAGCAAAGAAGGTGCACACCGCTGCCATGGCAGCTGTGAGTGAAAACTTGCGCCGATCCAGAGAGTTGACGAAAGAAGTAGCAGGCGAAACTGATATGGCTGTTATGTTCGACGGCACTTGGTAGAAGAGGGGCCACAAAAGCCACAACGGGATTGGCGCAGTTATCTCCTTAGATACTGGCCTCTGCTTAGACTTCGAGGTCATATCAAATTACTGCCTGACATGCAGTAGGCACAAGGATATGGGCCGAGACGAGGAAGTGTGGCAGGCATTCCATGGCCCAGTCTGTGAAAAAAATGCAGACTGTTCCTCCTATGCCATGGAAACGGATGCTGCAATGCGCATTTGGCAGAGAACATTGACTTATGACACCCCACTGCATTTCATGACATTCTTGAGTGACGGTGACAGCAAAGCATATAGTGCAGTTGCAGAGTTGAAAGTCTATGGTGCTGTCAATGTAGAAAAAGAAGACTGCTTTAATCATGTGACCAAGAGACTTGGCACCGCGCTACGGAAGCTGCATGTGCCATTACCACGAGGGCAGAAAATGAAAGAGCCAGCCATTCAGAAGCTCGAAACATACTATCAGATTGCCATAACAAGCAACAGGGGGAGTGTATGGGATATGTACACTGCAGTATGGGCTTCGTACTTCCACTCATGCTCTACTGACAATGCTGGCAGCCACAAGTTTTGCCCTGCAGGAACAGAGTCGTGGTGCAAACATCAACGCGCTGAAGCACTTGGTGAACCTGCACCACGCCACACACCTCTCCTGACAAAAGCACAGGGATTGGCTGTTTTGCCCATTTATAAGCGGCTAACGGATGAGAAGCTCCTTGCTCGATGCATCAAAGGGAAAGCCCAGAACGCATCGGAATCCCTGAACAGCAAAATTTGGCTACTTTGCCCCAAGACTAAGTTTGTCTCCCGAACGGTTGTCGAGACTGCCGCAGCTATGGCAATCCTGTGGTTCAACAAGGGTCATGCTACTTTCAAGCACATCCTGGAAGAGCTCAACATACTGCCATCTAGAGATCTAGTTACTTTCAGTGATTCCCGCGATGTGAGGCGCATCAAGAGAATGTCCGAGCGTCCGACAGCAGAAGCAAGGGCCCACCGTCGTCGTGGAGTGAAAGGGCACGGCTAGAAGAGAGTGCTCGCAAGGACCGTGAGGGCACAACCTATGCTGCAGGACAGTTCTAGTAACTTGCAGTGCTTTTCAAAGTTCTGTTGAACATTATGGCCAAAGATTGTGCATTTCTAACAACTCTGTGATAAAAAAAAAAAAAGGTTTCAAACTTTCAAATGCGTTTTTCTCCTTTTGCAGTTTTGTGTGATCTGTGCTTCTTATACACGCTAGTTCGTATACTT